GTTTTTTTTTTTTAAATACATTACCTTTATGTTATTGTTTCACTTATTCATAAATTGTACTATTTTGATATTAAGAAATGTTGAATATCGATTTAACACAAACTATTTAAATAACATATAATCACACTATGTTAAATTAACTTAACACTGAAAAAATGTTAAAAAATTCTATACAAAAATTTAACAAGAACTTGACCAGTAGACCAAGTTCAATACCATTTCTAATACAAAAATGAAATATTTTTTACTATGTACGAGAAATTCGTATTAATATGGAGGTACGAAACAAATTAATGAAATTATAATTTTAGTAAACATTTCTGTAAACATAAAAAATGTTCTCTTTATTTGTTAGAAATAATAAAATTTTAAATAATGACGTGTGTAAGATTTTTCTAATATGTAACATCGAAAATTATGTTTATATATAATTAACATCGAATATACGAAGGCAAGTCAATAAGTTCTTAGAAAATCTGTCAGAAGGCACTCGCAGTGTCATATCACATTACTTTTTGACAAATAGCATCTTTCAGCTAATTATTGTCAAATTTTGAGCGAAATTCGTCGCGTGGTTTTATTTCTGTAGACGATTAAAGCGAACAATCTTTGTATTTTTTTGCAAAATGGACAAAAACGAGTTTCGTGCAATGATCAAACATCTACATATGAAAGGTTTAACGCCGAAAGAAATCAAAGCCGAGTTGAATAATGTTCATAGCACATCTGCACCAGCGTTTGCGACTGTATACAATTGAGTGAATGAATTTAAACGTGGTCGTACATCCACATGTGATGCACCTCGTTCAGAACGTCCAATTGAGGCTGCTAGAAATCATCGAAAATCCACGATATTTGACTGATCGACGAGTGAAAATGCGCGAGCTTATTGAGGCCACAGGCATATCACATGGCACATTGATTTCAATTTTGCACGAACAATTGGGTATGAAAAAACTATCAGTAAGATGGATGCCGTGTTTGCTCACTGTGGACCATAAGCGCGACCGTGTGATGATTTTAAAATAATGTTTGGAGATGTTTCAACGTAGTCTAGATGAATTTCTGCGTTGATTCATTACTTTGGACAAAACATGGATCTATTACTTCACATCTGAGACGAAGGAACAGTCAAAACAATGGACTTCACCGGGTAAACCAAAAAGAAGAAGGCGAAGACCGTGAAGTCGGCCGGAAAGGTGATGGCCACAGTTTTTTGAGATGCACGCGGTATAATTCATATCGATTACCTTCCGTCGAAACAAACGATCAATGGCGATTACTACGCAGCCTTATTGGACTATTATCGTTTTAACAAGATTTTAAAGAAAAAAACGTCCCCATTTGGCGAAGAAGAAAGTGCTCTTCTATCAAGACAATGCACGGGTTCACACATGCCCGACACCGATCGCTAAATTCAACGAATTCCGCTACGAATTGCTTCCTCATCCAGCATATTCGTCAGATTTAGCCCCCTTGCGACTATTTCCTGTTTCTAAACCTGAAGAAATGGTTTGGAGGAAAGAGA